TCCCTCCCCTCCCCTCCCTCCCTCTCTCCTCAAAGCTCCTTCCTAGCGGCTCAAACATTTACCACCCGCAGAGCGCAGTGTGGCTTGGTGCTCCCGGGGCTGTCTGCAGCTGGGGCTTCGCCAAGTTCAACCCCGCAGTACACCTGTAGAGTCAGAGACTCTGGGACCAGGAACTGCGCGTGAGCCGACCTCCTGCTCGGTGTTTGACGTTTTCCCAGCAGCATCAGACTTCGGAGCATCCATAGTCAGCTCCAAGTTTGAGCGGGTCTCCCTTTAGCAGCGCACACATTCGCGCTTGCGCAGTCTTCCGAACAGGGAGTCTTCCGCGTCCGGTTGCCATAGAGATCGCAGTTTCCCCCTCAGCCAGGATCTTCAGTTGGGGTAAGGAGGTCCCCACCTTAGGTTGTGTCCTTGGAAACACTGAGGTAAGCGAACCTCGATCCACCTCATTGACCCCCTCTCCCTACCCACAGCCGAGTGTCTTGGGATCAGCCATCAGCACTGATGGTTAGGTCTCCTCTCTGGGACGGCTCACACTTGTTCAAAGTTAACTCTCAAGAAGCCATGCTGAGATAGACTCGGGAGAGGCCGTAGTGGGGACTGGATTGGGGAGTTCAGGAGTGTCCAAGGGGTCTGTGTGGGCTTTGGTGCTCAGCCTAGCCCAGATCCAACTCCATCCGTGGTTGTGAAGGTTTCAGAGGCACCTAGGACCGGTTGTAGGGCCCAGACAGGGAGCCCCTCAGTGTTCAGCTTTGTCCATGGAAGGCAGATATGACAGTGGTTCTTTGTAACATAGTCAAAATGCCCAGGCGTTGGTTTATGGATGTCACACCTGTTTATTCCTTAGGGGACATATCTGGGCTCAGGTATTTGGAAGAATGCTGCTTGTCTTACTTAGGGTTTCTGACTCTGTGATGAAACACCATGACCAAAAAGCAAGCTGGGGAGGAAGGAGTTTATTTAGCTGGCTTATACTTCCTTATTGCTGTTCATCATCGAAGGAAGTCAGGACAGAAACTCAAACATGGCAGAACCTGGAGGCAGGAGCTGATGCAGAGGCCATGGAAGGGTGCTGCTTACTGGCTTGCTCCCCAGAGCCTGCTCAGCCTGCTTTCTTAAAGAATCCAGGATGACCAGCCCAGGGATGGCATCACCCAGCATGGAGTGGGTCCTCCCCATCAATCACTAATTAAAAAAATGTCCTACAGCTGGATCTTATTGGGGCATTATCTCTATTGAGGTTCCTTCCTTTTTGATAACTGTGTGTACCAAGGTGACATAAAATTAACCAGTACAGCACTCTGTGATCCAGCAAGACCAATGAAAATTTCTTGTTTTCAAAAGACACACAGGAGAATATTAATAGCATTCTTGTGATAGCTTTAACTGAGAAGAGTCCACACATCCATAAACAATAGAAAAAGGGTGATTTTTACATAGTCACCTGGCTCACTACATAGCAGTGAGAACGGACGAGCTACATTATAAGCAGTCAGACCACTGTTAAGAACATGACGCTAAATAAAAGGCACCAGATGCAAAAGAATATACCGTGTATGGTTCAAAACCAAAGGAACTTATAGGTAACATTAAAGATCAAGTTAGTGGTCACCCTGTATGTTTAGGAGTGGCAACTAGGGACCAGAAAGGTTTGGCACATTGGTAACATTGATTTCTTGATCTGGGAGCTGGTGACGCAGTACACTTGGTTCAGTTTATGATTTATTGCATGTTTCAGTACGAGCGTCACATTTTGATGATAGTGACGATGGCAGAAAGAACCCATCTATTTCATTTAATTCTAAACGGTCTGTGTTTGATCAGGACTTTGGATATCCCAAATGGCCAAACTACTGCAATCTCCACCCAAGTTCCTTCCCGCAGAGTGGTATATTGCTAACAAAAGCCAGTACCACAGAGCAGAGGCCCAAAGGTCCCGATCTGAACGCCTGGTGGCAGAGAGCCAGCGGCTTGTGGATGAAATCGAGAAGACCACCAGGAAGTCTCAGAGTGATGTGAACAAGAAACTTGGTAAGACAATGTGCTTAGTATATTTGTAACCGCATCCTGATGAGGCTCTTGGGGGCTAGTGATAGTGTCATGTTTGGTGAGGCAATGTGTCATTCTTGAAATATGGAGTTAGCCAGAATGTGTTCATTCTTCAGATCCTGTGTTGAAGACCAGTGCCATAGGACAGACACAGCAAGACCATCTGATTTTCAACCATCTATCATCCATTCACCAGTTTGACTCCCATTCATTGATAGCTTGCAGGGACCATACATTGGGACCACCACAGGGAACGAGCAAAGTCTGTGCTTTCACGGGTTCCCACCTTGAAAGGAGAAAGGCATGACAGTCATTGATGAGTACAGGGCCAGATGTGTGCTGAGTAAAGAGAGCTAAGCTGGGGTGGGGCAGGCACCAGAGAACTGGGGACGTTCCTAGAGGTTAAACGTTTGACCTGGGTCTTATAGGAAGAACAATTAAGCCTTAACAATTTCATGCTGAAAAATAGCACTTAAAGAATGTTTGGTCTTGCCAGGCAGTGGTGGCACATGCCTTTAATCCCAGCATTTGGGAGGCAGAGGCAGAGCCAAGTGGATCTTTGTGAGTTTGAGCCTGGTCTACAGAGCTAGTTCCAGGAAGGCCAGGGCTACACTGAGAAACCCTGTCTCAAAAAACAAACAAACAAACAAACAAATAAATAAATAAGGAAAGAAAGAAAGAATGATGATCTTAAATCAATAAATGTAAAATAAAATGGACAGCGATCAGCCAAATACTTACATGTACGAGCCAGAGGCTATCAAGTAACACAGGGGATGAGGTAAAACAAGAGGGAGGGATGAGGGCTATTTTCAAACTGCATCTTAAATGTCATAGATTCATTGAACAATTTAAAATTAGCTGTTTACACTGGCATTAAAAAAAGTTAAGTTTAAGGCCAGCCTGGTCTACACGGTGAGTTACAGGACAGTCAGGACTATATAGAGAGAGCCTGTAGTAAAAAAAGAAAAGAAAACAACAATAACAACAACAAATAAATAAGAGCCATCGAGGGACTGGCAAGTCAACCTGGTTAGCAACCTGAGTTTGATGTCCAGAACCCGGGTGAAAGTGGAAGGGAAAACCCAGCTTTACAAACTTGTGCTCTGACATCCACATGTATGCAGTGGCACATGTGACCACATGCACACCTTGTGTATACTCGCAAATAACTGCAGCACAAAACAGAAGAAAATAAACCAGAGGGTTAGGGTGTGACTCAGTGATAGAATATGTTTCTCAGGCCCTAGGCTCTGCCCCAGCACTGAAACACGGCAAAGCCTGTGAAATGCCTCGGAGTAATGCTAGCTAAAGATGTGTGGAAGTTCTTCATTGAAGACTACATTACTGCACCAAGTCAAAGAGGTCAGAAACAAACGCAAGATGTAGAAATTAGTGCATAGAAAAATTCAGTATCTTACTCACCCCAGAGGGTGACTACTAACCTGATTTTCCATGCTACAAATTGACCTATTGATTCAATACAATGCCAATTAAAAACACTACCAGACTTCCTGCTGAAACCAGCAAGCTGCTTCTAAAGAGGTAGAGAGGCATGGCTGGCTTGAAGGAAAAGTTACACCCCAACCCCTGCCTCATCACACATCTGCAAAGCAAATCTAGCTGCGAGCACATCTAAATGAGAAAGGTAAAACCATGAAGCTTTCAGAAGAGAGCTTTTTTTTTTCTCAGACAGATTGTCACTCTGTAGAGTAGGCTAGCCTTGAGCTCTCAGTGGTTCTCCTGCCTCAGCCTTTTGAGTCCTGAGATTATAAGAAGAAACTATAATTGAGAGGGTATCACACACCCACAGGAATGGCTAGTGAGAAAGAGGGGAAGGAAAAGAAGAGGAAAAGTGCCAAGTGTTGAGGGGAGGCGGAACAAGGAGTGGCAGTTAGACCCGGTTCACTGCGGGTGGAAGGCGCGATTGGTCCGACCACTTGGGGAGGCGGTGGTGGCACCTGCTAAGGTTGGGTGTGTACAAACTTTCACACTGCTCTTGTGCTTTTATCTATGAAACCCAATGTCTGTTTCCTAAAGATCCATGCTGAAGTGTTCATCAGTAGCAGAGCGGGTGAATAGGATCTCCCCACATGCAGCAAGAGCTTAATGCAACACCACAGAGAAATCTCACAAACCCAAGATGTTCAGAAAATAAAAAGGAATACACAAATGGGTACAGACCATATTCTCTCTCTGTCTTTTGATTTTTTTCAAGACAGGGTTTCTCTGTGTAGCCCTGGCTGTCCTGGAACTTGCTCTGTAGACCAGGCCTCAAATTCAGAGATCCGCTGGCCTCTGCCTCCCCAGGCCTGGGATTAAAGGCGTGTGCCACCACTGCCTGGCCACATTATTTCATTTTTATAAATCAAAAAAAATTAATTCACACTGGAGGGAAAGAACCAGGCAGGACCTTTCTGGGTGCTGGTAATATTTCCTGAGCCTGAGCCAGTGGCTTGGTTCTAGTACCCTCACTCATTACATTTTATAAACATGCATACTTTTCTAAAGATGAATTTTCTTTTTTTCTTTTCTTGGTTTTTTTGAGACAGGGTTTCTCTATAACTTTTGGAGCCTGTCCTGGAACTAGCTCTTGTAGACCAGGCTGGCCTCAAACTCACAGAGATCTGCCTGTCTCTGCCTTCTGAATGCGAGGATTAAAGGCATGTGCCACCACTGCCCGCCTTTCTTCTTCTTAAAAAGATTTACTTTTTTTATTGTTATGTGTATACCTGTGTGTCTGAGGATACTTTGTGTGTGCAAGAACCCATCGAGGCCAGAAGAGGTCATCAGATCTCCCAGGTCTGGAGTAACAAACAGTTATGAGTTACCATGTGGGTGCTAGGAACCTGGATCCGAACTCTTAATTTCTGAGCTGTCTCTTCAATTCCAGCCCTTTCTGTACCTTCTCCTCAATCACTCATTAGAAACTGCATCACAATCCTCTTTGTTTTACTAATAGAAATTGTCCCTATTAGAATTTTTTTAATTAATTATGTATAGAATGTTCTGCCTGCATGTATGCCCCAGATCTCATAGATGGTTGTGAGCTACCATGTGGTTGCTGGGAATTGAACTCAGGATCTCTGAAAGAGCAGCCAGTGCTCTTAACCTCTGAGCCATCTCTCCGGCCCCCCTATCAGAATTCTTTTATGGAAACCAAACTGTTTGCCTTATATTTTTACCTATATTGCTTTAAGCACCTCAAAATAAATATGTTCCAAGATGAATGCATCAGTGTCCCTCAAAACTTGTTGTATGGCTCCCTAGCTTGGTGAGCGTATCTAGGAAATTCTTTCATCAACTCGATCCTTCATCTATTAAACATGGCCAGTATTGTACTAGATGGTTTCAAGGAGGAAGCTGATGAAGACATACTCATTCTAGTATAAAAGAGCATTAAAACCTCAAAAGACGACTAAAATTATTCTGAACTAAGACAGTGGCAGTCTGAATGAAGAGAAGGTGCACACTAATTAGCAACAATAATTTCGAGATAGACTTCAAGAATAGAAATGGAGGATAAGCTGACAGAGGCAGGATGTGGGAGTTGATGCCCAGGGTGCAGAAGTGGGAGCGGTGAATGCTGGGTAAGTGGGAGGTGAGAGAGCCAAAGCTGTGGCGAGACTGAGGGACCTTGGCTTTGGACGGTTCAGTCCAGTAGGTAGTCGATAAGAAATTAGGAGGGAGCGAGAGGAATCAGGGGGGTCAAAAGCAGTGGTCTAGATGGGTTGGTCAGAGAAAATGGGGAAGGGCACAGTGCGTGGGTCAAGGGTGGGAGCGAAAGTAGTGTCGACGTCTTGGAATACAGGAAATGAGGGCTTTGTGGGTGAGGGGCTTCCATCTTATGGTGCTCATCTAAGTCCAGAGGAGGCTGAAAGGCAAGTGAGAAATGTATTTGTCCTGGTGGCTTGAAGATCAGGGATGGCTTCCGAGGTAGCGGTCCAGTAGGGCAGTAAATGATGCACGGAGGATGGGTGGAGGCCAGCTGCAGAGCGAGAGGACTTTAGTTTGTGTGACGGATGCAGGCCCTGGATGCAGGCTTTCTCCCTTATAAAACTCCAGCCAAGGCTTTGCCCCCAGGACAAGGATGGGTGGGGATGAAGCAGCGGCAGAAAGTGATGGACATTGGATGTTAGAAACTGGAAAACAAAAGAGCAGCTAGACACATAGGGACTATGGACAGTTGGGGTGGGCCAAGAACACTGGACTAATTAATTCATGCTGCAGAAACCTTGGAATATGCAAAGCTGGGTGCATCCGACTACTGCTGAGGCTGGAGACTCAAGATAGAGCTGGAAACAGAACAGTGTTGGGAATCTTTAGAAAGATTGGCCTGGACGTGTCCTCCCACCCGACAGGGGATTGGAAGATCTTTCATGGAGAAATTAACTGACTTGAAAAGAAGGAACTGCAGATATGTGTGTTCAGAGGGCCTCCAGGGAAATGCCTGGGCCCGGCTTCTTGGCTCTGTACACATAGCATTCTAGCAGGCAAGCACTGTCCCCAAAGACAGAGCTTCCTAGCAGCATTCCAGCACATCTGTTACACACCTGAGGAAGATTTTTGGCATGGCACACACATGCACATGCATATGTACACACGCAAACATGGAAACTCAGGAAGCAGGACATCACGCAAGAAACAGATCCTCCAGACTCGAGGAAGATGCTGCAGCCTTGAAAGAGAGACATGGAGGGAACAAAGGGCTCTGGAAATGAAAAGCAGGAAAGCAGGAAAAAGTTAGACATCAAAAGAAGCTTTAAAAGATAAAGTTGCACAATTCTCCAAGAATAATGAAAAAGGAGAAAGGAGACAAAAAAAAAGGTAGGAGAACTAGAGGCTCAGTCTGGGAGGCTCAGTCATCAATAGAAACTAGGGAAGGAGAAGAAATTATCCATGAAAACAATTTTATTAAGTTGATGTCTGTTGTCTAGTGCAGTAAGATTGACACTGGTGTAAGATTTCAGAGCACAAGGAAAATGGAGGAATTCATAAGATTTTCCAAGAAAAAGAGACAGAAAGATCACATACAAAGAATGGGGGTCAGAATAATTTCACTCTTGTCCACAAAACTCTGAAAACTAGAAGGAAGCAGAGAGACATCAGAAATTTGAATGAAAAGGGCTCATGTACTACAAACCTGAGCACCACACAGCGCCAGTGGTCAGGGTAGAAGGAAGGAATGCTCAGGCTTGCAGTTTTTCGAAACCTTCAGCTTCTAACATGTGTCCACATACGTGTCTAAGGGAGTTCCTGGAGGGTGTGCTTGTGTGTTGAAGGGGTGAATGGAGGAGAAAGAAGTACAGCTCAGGAAATGGGACTCCAGCATCTGAGAATTGCACAGGAGGCTCCTGCAAACAAGACCAAAGAGCCATGGACTGATGCAGTGGTGTGGAGTAGGTCCTCTGGTCACAGCAGAAGGACAAAGGGAACCACCATCAGTAGGTTACTAGGCTAGTTGGGATTGATTGACAGGACACTAGCAATTGTGTCAGAAAGTTTGAGGAGGCACTAGTAATTAATACAAATAGCGTGAAGGGGTTACTTTAAAAAAGATTTTACTTTTATGCTTGTCTGTGTGCCTGTGTATGCACATGTGAGTGCAGATGCCTGTGGAGACCAGAAGAGGGCATCAGATCCTCAGAACTGGAGTTACAGGCAATTTTGAGCACCTAATGTGGGTTCTGAGAGCTGGACTCTGGTCCTTTGCAGGAGCAGCACTGAGTCATCTCTCCATTCCCAAAGTGGTTGCTATAGTAACCATCTTACTCTCTATATGTTTCCTATAACTCAGATATGCACAATCTCATCTTCTCCTTGAAAGAAGTTATTTGGGCTGGGGAGATGGCTCACCGTGTAGGATTGCTTACTCTGAAAGCATGAGGAAATGAGTTCAGATCCCCAGAACCCACATAAAAAGCCAGTTACTGTTTTTCACTACAGCACTGTAGGGGGCAGAGAAAGAAAAATTTGTTAGGGCTTGCTGGCCACCAGGTTCAGTAAGAGAACCTATATCAGAGGAATAAGGCAGAGAGTCATAGAGCAGGACACTCAGCATTCTCCCCTGGCTCTTCCTTGTATGCATAACATATGCACATACCTGCACATCCACACACGTGTGCATATATATATATATACACACACACAGCATGACATAGTACACATACAGATATGCACATGTTAATGCTTATGTTATTTTAAGGAGGGGACATTGATAATTACATAATTAGTACCTAATATGTTTAAGATTCAGATGTGAAGCTACTCATTCCAAATTTGTTAGCTATTATGCAGTAGGCTTTTCTCTCAGTCATCTTTTACTCGTACTGTTTAATAAATTCGCCTTTAGTCAGATGTGATGGCATAGCGCATAATCTCAGCCCCTGGTGACTGAGGTGGGAGAACTGGAAAATGCAGGGCCATTTGCTGGGTGTGGTGGCTCGCACGTTTATTCCCAGCACTCGGGAGGGAGAGGCAGGCAGACCTCTGTGAGTGTGAGGTCAGCCTGGTCTACAGAGTGAGTTCCAGGACAGCCAGGGTTACACAGAGAAATCTTGTCTTGAAAAACCAAAAGGGGAAAAAAAGATAGAAATTAAAGGCTAGACTGAATTATAGAGTGAGATACTCTCTAAACAAACAAGCAAGCCAACAAAATTACTTATTTGGCTTACAATAAAAATGAAAGTGAAGTTGGTTGAAGAGATGGCTTAGAGGTTAAGAGCACAGGTTGTTCTTCCAGAGGTCCTGAGTTCAATTCCCACCAACCATATTGACTCAAAACTGTTATATAATGAGATATGGTGCCCTCTTCTGGTGTGCAGGCATACAGGCAGGCAGAACACTGTATACATAATAAATAAATACATCTTTAAAAAAAATAAAGCTTTAATGCAATTATAATCATGCAAAAAGAAAGTTATGCAAGAAGTTTATCATAATATGCTACTGGATTCAAGTGTAAATAATGTTAAAAATTCAGTAGACAGTAGGTTAGTGTTTGATAAAATGTTGATATAAATATATGGGGAGATGGAAAAAGGCTGTTGTTCTGAGTTGTTTTAAAGCAATCCAAGGACAGAGGACACAGCTTCGGCATTATAGCGCTTGCCTAGCATGCTCAGGAGCCTGGGTTCAGGCCTCAGCTCTGAAAAAATGCAGATCATTATCTTTCACCATGAGAAATCACCATAGCATTAAACTGGCATTGAAAGTATCTGGTAAGACAGATACCACAGCAAATCATGGCAGTGTTGAAGTCAGCACTCTAAGAGGTGGCCGTGGGGAGGAGTGGGGAGTCAAGGACTCCTCAGACTGGGTCATGGTGTTTGACTTTCCAAACGATGCACATTTAAAAGTTACAGGATGAGAGCAACAGCCCAACAGCTACGAGTGCATACGGAGCTCAGTTCCTAGAACCATGTCAGGTGGCTCCCAGCTACCTACAACTCCAGCTCTGGGAGGGATCAGAACAGGCATGCGTGCGTGTGTGTGTGTGTGTGTGTGTGTGTGTGTGTGCACACCCCCCCACATAACCCCACACACCACAGAGTTATCAGCTAGGGGTGGTGGTGCACACTTTTTTTTCCAGCTGAGGCAAAAGGAAAAAAAAGATCAAAGGCAGCTTGATCTACATAGCAAGATAAATAAATAAATAGCAAGATAATACATAGCAAGACAAATAAATAAATAAACAAACAAATGTTATTAAAATACTGGGCAACTGAAGAATTGGAGTTTAGAGTGTTAAACATTACATTGAGTGTAAGAAGAAACATACCACTTTCCTTTTGCTAATAAACATTTGTTTATATCTATTTTTGAGACAGTGTCTCAATGTTGCACAGGTTGGTTTAGACTTATTATGTAGCAGAGAAAGACAGAGAACAGCCTTGAATTTCTGATTCTCCTGCCTCCACCTCCCCAGGCCTGGGATCACAGCCTCTTGCTGCCATGTCCAGTTTGTGTGGGTGCTGGAAACTGAACCCAGGGCCTCCTGCATTCCAGGCAAGATCTTACCAACTGAGCTACAGTGTTCACCATTACTGATCAGCATTTATAAAAATGACACAAGGGCTAGGTGTGGTGAAGAACATCTTTAAGCCCAGTACATCGGAGGCAGAGGCAGATGGATTTCTTTGAGTTCCAGGTCATCCAGGGCTACATAGTGAGACCCTGTCTTGGGGTGGGGGGGTAGATAATGGTGATACCACAGGAAGCACAGGTCTAAGAAACGAGAAAATCTCAGCTAGTGTCACAGGGTAGGAGTGGGGCTGGGAGAGCAAGCGAGAGGCCTGGGTTCAGTCCCCAGCACCACAGCAAACACACACACATAGTTGCCTCCACCGAGAGCAGACAAACCCGGCTGTGACACGTGTGTACTTCAGAGCAGAGACTCGAGGAGGTCAAGTTCTGGAAGAAGGAGTTAGACGACAAACTTGAACAGCTCGTGCACCAGACGGACGATCTGCTCACATACAAGATTCGCCTGGAGAAAGCCCTGGAGAGCTTCAAGGAGCCCCTGCACATCACCGAGCGGTGCCTGGCCTACAGGTTAGTCACTGCAGCGGCGGGAGTCGGTGCCAGGCAGCAGAAGCTGACTGCGCTAGACGGCAGGTGTTCTGTTGGGTCTGAGATGGGGCCCGTCATGCCCGTGGTGTCTGTGGAAGGCATGCAGGCTCATGCCTCAATTCTGCTGTCCTCTAGCTAAAACTGTGAGTGTCAATTACAAAATCACAAAATTAATCTTAAAATGTTTCTTCTTCTGTCACCTAAGAATGCTTTGAGATTTATTTTTATTATATATAATATTATATAATAAAATTATTAATATGCATTATGTGTGTGTGAGTGTGTGTGTGTTTTGCCTGCATGTAAGTCTGTCTACCAGGTGTAGGCAGGCCAGAAGAATCCAGAAGAGGGTGCTAGATCTCTTTGGAACCAGAGTTACAGATATTTTTAGTCACAATGTGGGTGCTGGGAATTGAACCCAGGTTCTCTGGAAGAACAGCCAGTGCTCTTAACTGCTGAGTCATCTCTCCAGCCCCCTTTCCCATGACTTTTAAGTCATCTAGATAGGCCAATGTTTTTTGTTTGTTTGTTTGTTTGTTTTTGTTTGTCGTCCCCCTTTGGAGAGAATTTTATTTTAGAGCCTGCAGAATATGATATACTTTTTAAAAAAAGAAAACAAATTATCTTTTTTTTTCATTTTATATGCCAATCCCAGTTCCCCACTCCCTCCCGTCTTCCCATTCCCTTTACCCCCACCCCCATCCACTCCTCAGAGAGGGTCAGGCACATTGCTCTGGGGAAGGTCCAAGGCCCTCCCTACTATACCTAGGTTGAACAAGATATCCATCCAAAGAGATGTTTCCAAAAAATCCAGTACAAGCAGTAGGGATAAATCCTGGTGATACTGCCAGTGGCCCCACAGTCTGTTCCGGCCATACAACTGTCACCCACATTCAGAGGGACTAGTTTAGACCTCTACTGTTCCCTTTGCTGTCTGGAGACCAATGTTTTGTTGCCTCACAGAACAGGTCTTAATCCCTAGGCTACTTCATGACTTGAGATGGCAGCCCAAGCCCCAGACATTGTTTCCCCAGCAAGGATGAGCAAGTAGAGATTGGCACTCACCATTTCTCTGTATTTACATCCACTGGCCAGAACATAACCATATGACTACACCGGCTGAAGCCAGGAAATGGTTGTCTTCAGTTGGGACAGCCAGGGGCTCAGCTAAAGTACCAGGGGTCCCATTTCTAGGAAAGAGGGTGAGGAAGATCCCACTCTAGCTGCTGGCTGGGAGACATAAGCCTGCTGGGATGCACAGAGTACCCTGCTGTTAGTACAGTAAATTCAAGAATAGGATTCTTCTCTTCTTAGGCGATGCCAGTTTCTAGACCTGTTTTTCTAGTTCAGTTGGAGAGTTATGATGAATTGATGAGTCTGGGTTTCTTTTTAGGCAGGTGCTCAGACTGGCCTAGCAACCTAGGAAAATCTAGAACACCACATCTTCCCGCTTCAACCTCAGTGTTATACCACCATGCCTGGCTCTCCTTGGTGGTTTTGCTCCAGCAGAGCCCTTTCCAACCCAGTATATCATCCACATTGACTTTTTCATTTTCACAAGAGGCTTGCGTAGCCCAGGCTGGCCTCACATTCACTATGTGGCTGAGGATGGTTTTGGATTCTCTTGCCTACACCTCCTGAGTGCTGAGGTTGCTGGCAATGTACCAACATGTCTAGTTTACAAGAAGTAGGGACAAACCCAGGGCTTCATGAATGCTAGGCAGGCATTCTACTGTATTCCCACCCCCATACTGACATTTGAATGAACTTGTCCAAGTCTTGAGTTTTACAGGTCACCCTAAGCTTCAAACCTTGTAACTATAGCCCTGAATCCCAATAGTCTCAAGATAAAGTTCAAGGCCCTTAGTTTGTCCAGTGAATTCTCCAGGCCCTGAAAGAGAGGAGCTTGGGGGGCTGGAGAGATGGCTCAGAGGTTAAGAGCACCGACTGCTCTTCCAGAGGTCCTGAATTCAGTTCCCAGTAACCACATGGTGGCTCACAGCCATCTGTAATGAGATCTGGTGCCCTCTTCTGGTGTGTAGGCGTACATGCAGGTAGAACACTGTATACATAATAAATATATAAATCTTAAAAAAAAAAAAAGGAGCTTGGGAGCCCTGAACCCTCTGCAGGTTCCCAAATATGTGGTGCTCTTCTCAGGAGAAACCCAGTTCCCCCATGACCTTAGTTAGCCCTGACCTTGTGCAGCAAGCAGGCAGTGACCAGGCAGTGGTCCCCAAATAGTTTCAGAGAGTATGTGAAGGCAAGGGCACCGACAGCCCACCTGCAGTGTGCTCCTAAACCCAAGGCTAACTATAATGCAGAGAGTGCTGAATTAGTGAGCATGTACTGCGTACCGGGAGGGGTGTGGGGGCGGGGCAGGGACACTGCTTTCTGTCATGCCCATGGCATACCCTACAAAGTACTAATAGTTGTCCCCATCTACAGAAGGGGACATCAAGATACAAATGCTACAAAAATGCTCCTCAGGCTCCACAGCAAGTGGCTAGGGGATCCCCTAAGCCAAGTCCTACCAAACAGAATAGTAGTAACAAAGTTTCTGACAGTGGGGTGGTTTTGGGGAGTGGTGTATCTTGGCACTGTAATGCTCGGTGTGTGACGCTGGGTAAGTTACTTCACTCCTCTGAGACTCAGCTGTCCCACATGAATTTTAAAATGCTGAGCAGAAAGGTGAGGGGTGTAGTTCAGTGGAAGCAGCACAGTTGACTAGCAGGCTCCAGGGCCTGGGTTTCTTTAGGAGGGAATTAAACAAATTAAGAGGGAATATTTACCTTAAAACAAAACAGTGCCTGTCACACAGCCAGGGCTCAGTGGTGTAATAGCAATGTCTGGATTATTTGTTACTAATACCGGAACAGAACTATTTTTGTTCCTTATTTATTTATTATATTATATTATTTATTTATTTTTTGTCTAAAAACAAGACTAGGACCAAGGAAAGAAACACCTGTCTTTGAAATTCTAGGTCAAAGCAGAGTTGTTTGCAAGGAGTAGGTGCGAAGGGGAGGACTTCAGAGCAGGAAGAGGCTGCATGCTCTACGGGACAGGCCTTAAGTCCCAGCCCTCAAGGCTGAGGCAGGAGGATCAGGAGACTAGCCCGGGATACGTAGGGAGACTCTGTCTTAAAAACCGACCAACTAGAGAGCCAGCAAGCCACCAAATGAACAAAAATCAATCAAATCAAAGGGCGGCAGGGTGCGGGGGGAGTGTTCATGTGGAGTTTTCAGGCCAGGTTTCTGCACGTGTGTTGGATATTTTGAAGAGACACAGGCACAAAGTAGTGTCCCACGCTCTTGCCCCTCCCCGTCAGGGAGCAGCGCGTGGGCATCGACCTGGTGCGCGATGTGGTGGAGCAGGAGCTCCTGAAGGAAGCCGAGATCATCCGCGGCGTCATGGATTTGCTGAAGCGAACGCTGGAGGAGACAACGGAGCAGATCAGGTACCATAGACTCCATCCGAGTTGGGGGAACGGGTGTGCAGCACCCCACAAGACCATCTGCGCCCCCCGGTGGAACACTGGTATGGAGTCCGGGTTCCTGCCCCCCCACTGGCGCCCCCTGGTGACAGGAGAATTGTGGTGGCATCTCACCAGGGTGACTCACTAGAGTCCTTTGTGGTGGCCATGCTGACCCCTCGGTACTGTTTCCAATTGAGGCTTGGTCTCCAAACATCCAAATGGCACGTGTGTGCATTGGGGACATGGAGGTGGGGCATGAGGAAAGACCATGCTGAAAGGACTTAGTTTCAGCTTCGTTTTCCAGGGCCTCTCGGGACCCTGCAGGTGTCACCAGGCCTTTCCCAAAGGAGAAACCTGATTTGCCTTCTTCCTTCAGGCTGAATCGCTCTGCCAAGTACAATCTGGAAAAGGATTTGAAGGATAAGTTTATGGCCTTAACTATTGACGACATCTGCTTCTCACTCAACAATAATTCACCAAATATCAAATATTCTGAGAATGTTGTGAGAATCGAGCCCAAGTGAGTGGGGCCCTGCGACTGGTGTAGGTGGTTCTGGGAATAGCGTCTGCTGAGCAGTTTTACCCTGCCCCTGCCCAGAGCCTTCTCTCACTTTAAGAAAGACTGGCACAGTATGTTTGGAGACTTACAACTCATTCCTTCTTCTATTATAGTTTAACGTGTGGAGGAGTGTAAAAACTATAGCGATGGGTGGATAAAAACTTCCCATACTGGTCCTTCTCTGAGCTACCTCAGATCCACAGAAACACACGCACATCCGACACTGGTCCTTCTCTGAGCTACCTCAGATCCGCAGAAACACATGCACATCCGACACTCAGGTCCATTTTGTTTATTTGCAAGCATATGTGCCCTTTTTGTAACATCTAATTTGTATTAAATTAAATGTGTGCATTGAATGTGCGTAGATGGGTGGGGACACTGGTGCCCACGTGGAAGTCAGAGGACAACTTGTGGGGGTTGGTTTTTCTACAGTGTATGTCCTGGGGATTCCACTCAGGTTAGTAGGCTTGGTGGCAGTCAGTTTTACCTGTTGAGCCATCTCACTGAACATTTAACTTGCATTTTCAATTAGTGTTACACTGTAGAGCTAACTTTTTTTTGGGGGGAGGGGTTTTGAGACAGGGTTTCTCTGTGTAGCTTTTGGCTGTCCTGGAACTTGCTCTGTAGACCAGGCTGGCCTCGAACTCACTGAGTTCTGCCTGCCTCTGCTTTCCAAGTGCTGGAATTAAAGATGTGTGCCACCACCACCCAGCCCCTGATTTTTTTAAATTAAATATATATACATGAAATACATACAACAAATACTAAATACAAAGTTCGATTCTCGTTGTATTTGTATCTTTTTAATGTATAAAAACATAGAAAGATAAAGAATCTCTAAGCTTATCTTCTTAGAATAATGAATGTTTCTCATGATCTTGAGTAGGTTGAGAGACCAGACACAGCTTAGCTGGTGGCCTGGCTCAAGGTATCCTTAGGTGTACATCAAACTGAGGGCTGGGGCTGCACCCTTCTTAAGGCTTAACTGGGGAGGAATTGGCTTCCAAGGTGACTCATATGATGATGTGGGCCTCAGTTCCCAGCTTTATGAACTTGTCCAAGGACAGCTCATGATGTGGAAACTGGCACCTCCCATCCCAAGTGATGGAAGAGAAAGAGAGGAAAAGGCGGGAGGGAGAGGGGTCTAAGAGAAGCCACGGTGCCTTTTAATCTCCCAGCCTCAGAACTGACATCTCATCTTTGGACTTGTGAGGAATAAGTTGACAAATTTGTTCTGATCCTTAAGGCAAGGGAGACAGGGACCTCTGGGGATTAGTCAGAGGCTGCTGCTAGTCACAAAGTGGAGAATCCTCAGGGGTCCTCGGAGATAGAGTGCAAGAACGCCCTCCACTTTACTCCCATGGAGACCTTTCTGCCTGCCCCTTCTGCTTTCTCTTCCTCCTCTTCTTCCTCCTCCTCTTCCATTTCTTATTCTCGAGACAAAAAGCTTGTGATGTAACCCAGGCTGACCTCAAACTGGAGATTCTTCTGTCTCAGCCTCCTTCAGTTTCCTTCTGCCTGATATGTTTTTCTACTCCCCCAAAGTGGACACTCTCTTGACTTCTTCTAATAGGGTTCACGTGCTCTTCTTCTTCTTCTTCTTCTTCTTCTTCTTCTTCTTCTTCTTCTTCTTCTTCTTCTTCTTCTTCTTCTTCTTCTTCTTCTTCTTCGTCTTCTTCTTCTTCTTCTTCTTCTTCTTCTTCTTCTTCTTCTTCTTC